GGTACCCTCATTAACTGATCAAATGCTGAAGCAAGTGCATTTTCTTTCCATAGTTTGAAGAGGATGATGAAGATTTTGTAACTCCCGAGGTGCTATGTCGCCAGAGTCTGAGTCTGGTTTACAGTACAATTGACGAGAACTATCCAGAAGGTACTTTGCAGCTTTTGTCTGACCTACTACAGCCTGGTTACTATCCCCCCAGAGATATCACCTCACACCTACTCCACGGCATTCTGCTCGACCTACAGTCTCCTCATCACCTCTGCGTGCAGGCTTTTAAGCTCCTGATGAGGTCACAAAGGTAAAGAGACTGTAGCAATATGAGTTTGATGAGTATGTTTAAATTGCATAGTCTATATCTTACAAATTGTCACTTGCTTTTTGGTCTTTGAATGTCTTAGACTAAGAATGTTGTGTGATTGCAGGCACCACATGGTTGATAAAAACACAGTTCCGTGGGATTGGGAGTTACTGACCTCAGTCATGACCGATGAGGTACTGATTTACGAAGTTTATCCAAAAACTCTATGAACAAGAGCATATTGAAAATAATTTAGTTGCAATGGTGAAAAACATTTGCAGTCCCATTACTAGTCAAACATTTTGAGTTTGCTTGCTTGTTTCACCTTGTTTGTCAGGCTGTTTTTGTTTTCAATCTGCTCTAAAATGCAGACATTTGCAGCCCAATATCATTTCCCTACTTGCTAACCTTTTGCCTCCTTAGGAGCACACACAAAGGCATCGGTGTGATGTGGTGCGCATGTTCCTGGAGTACATTGTGCAGACTTTGGAGGACGACTTTCGGGCCAAATGCTCTACATCCTCCTTGCACCATTCAATAGCAAAGGCAACATTGTCGTGTGATCAGCAGTTTCCCCGGGTTAGGTGAGCATGATAGCCAACCTGTATTATAAACATGGGTAACTTTGGACATAAGCACTTGAGTTTGATTGTATATCATTGAGGTTGGATACCCTTACTTGGCGAGTTTATGATGGAGGTCTGGGTAAAACTTTCTTCTGTGAAGATATTCTGCTGGGTTTGTTTTAACAGTATGGAAGCAAATGTTTTGTTAAGAAGAGAGGTGTTTTTTTTCATTTTTAACCTACCGTCATTTATACAAAAACAAACAAAAATACTCAGGTTTAGTTGACACAAATGGTCATTCACAGTTTTAATGATGACATCTTTCATCAAGTATAATACTCATACAATTGACAACAAATAATTATCACATACACCCAGTGACAAACCAGATTGTTTTAATTATTTTGCCATTTTCTTTATAAGTATCATATTTAAAGTCATTTTTGATATCTTTTTTTTAATTTTTTTTTTTTTTTTTTTTACAGGGAGGTCATCAAATGGCTGTTTTCTGCCATTATGAAATCAACAGAGCATGGAAAGGGTAGAGAAACGACCCAAGAAAGAGAATATATGAGGTGAATTAGAATAAATTGTTCTTAAATAAAGAAGTGGTAGTTTGAGCAGAATAAACAACTGATTTGCATGTATGTCACAGTTAGCTATAGAAATGTTTAGACAGTGATTTAGTGGTGTGATTTTGGCTTTTTACACCACCACAAAAAATTTGTAACAAAACATTATATATGCATTTGAAGTTTATATTCTCAGCTGTAATTTTCCAGGACTACAGTTTATGTATTTTATTTATTTTTTCAACCCCTTAAAGTCAGGACTGAAAATGCATCTCGACTGTTTGATTTAAAATCTGCTGTGTTGGCATACAGAGCTAAAACTATGAAAGGTTTTAACAATTCCAATTTCTGTCTGCTTTTTAAAGTGTATGTCTCTGTCTCCTACAGAATGGTGTCTTGCTTGCAAAGGATGCTTTCTCTGGCTCTGGAGGTGGATTGTTCTCCTGCTCTAACCTCTGCCAAGCTGTCCCAAGAGCTCTTCCATATGCTCATCAGTAACGTGCCCCTACGAGCTCATAGGTGAGGAGGAGACGTGTGTTCAGAATATTTAATGGTGTAGGGAAAAATCTACTAGACTAAATCACGTTATTTTTGCTCAGTAGTCTGTAAATGTTTTTCATTCCATTTTCTATCAGAATTTATGGAATGATGAGTACTTTATTTTTAATTTTTACGCGAACATTTTTACATTTTTACCTTGAATCATTTGAACTCTTAGCAAAACAGAAAAGGAGCTTACTAAAATGTGAAGTGGAAAGTGTAAATACAAGAAGCCAGAAATCAATTTTTCTTTTTTTAAGTATTTCTGTAGTTATCCTCCCTGTAGGGCACTTTTTTAAAAACATTATAATCCTTATTTGAAAAGTCTCCAGGCTTTTTTTTTTTTGGCGTTTTTCCACTGTAGGCTCAACAGTGCTTCCTGTTGTCCTATCCTATTACTTTGCCTATGTTGCTGGGTACTTGCCTTTGCAGCCCAAATATTGCTTGTTTGTGGTAATGAGTGGTAATATCATCACAAACAAAATTTACCTGTCTGTATTATAGAAACTCCTCACTTAAACTAAATAAAGGGCTGTTTGTATGGAAAAATAAATAATTGTGTTTTCATTGCATTGCTTTAATGGAAATATATTTAAATCTTGTAAGTACATCAATTAAGTAAATTATATAAGCAAACATATATTTATTCTAATAGCAAGGTTGACCCTTTTTTCCCACCAGTTTTTCAAGCTGCCTCTGTTTTTGACTCCCAGGATGTTGTTGTTGGAGAGCCTACAGAGTAAGCTGCTGAGATGTAAGCTGTTGGAACATCTGCTGGACTATGCATGCCCAGTGAAAATCTCACTGCCCATGTCGCTCAGTCTGCTGCTTCACTTTCTAAAACACTGCACTGTAGCACCAGACCCTATGGTGAATATTACATTCCTGATTGTTATCTTCATTTTTATGTCATTGGCCAACTTCTTTACAGTACTTTAGTTCCCAGAATATGTTTTTGGGGGAGGGGTTTCCACTGTTCTTTAGTGTGTGCTATTTACCTTGTGTAGATTTTCCCAAAGTTTGCAACGTTATGTTGTCTTCTCTTGAAAGGAAACTGTTGATACACTGCCTGAAACACTAGACTTGTGTTTCTTATTTATAGTGGCAGCTTTGGCTTAGGATTAAACAACAGTTAGCCAGCTAAATCTAGTTGCCTCACAGTCTGCCATCATTATCTCAATAGTAGTGTTCCCACAGAACAGTGCATGGCTAATGTGGCTAACATGACCAAGTCTTTAATTCAGGCCTACTTTTTGTGTACCAGTATACTGCATTTAATACAACCAAATAAAGTGTGCTGTGTCCTCATTTGCATGTTTTTTTCCAAATTCTATTATTGGACAATGAAAAAAGCATCAGCTACTGTTAACATCTGTATATTAATAAAGCCTCAAAATAAACATAATTGTGAGCCTGTAATTGAGTATACTATGGGAATGATTTATATCATCGTGATCTTCACTTTAGAGACGCAGACAGCTTCTTGTTGATGTTTTCAAGTCACAAATTTGTGATTCTTGTTTCTTGTTCTATTTAATTTTTTTGAGAGAAATAAAACAAAACAAAACAAGTGACCATAAACGATGATTCAATGCCACTGATTAATGTCTGTAATCTCTAGGATGGCACTGAAAAGTGGCTCAAGTGGGAGGAGTTGGTGCATCTCCTCTGGATGTTGCTGCTCAGCTATAACAAAGCAATGAAAGGTGAGATTTTGGTAAACAGCTGGAAATTGCTTCGCAGTATCTGCAGCTGTGGTAGATAAATGGTCTCCTATGAAGTATATAATATTGAAGACAAGATGATTGTTGATGGCGACAATGAGGGCAATTTTGCATTGATACAATAAATGTTTGTTGTACACAGCGTTATCAGCTTTTTCAGTATTTAGCAAATTATAGAGGCAGGTAAATAAATAGATTAAAAATTGCAATATGTGCCTATTGGATGAGCTTGCACATTTCCTGCTGACAGGAGTCTTGTTTGCACTGTTGTTTGTGGCATTATTGCCCTGTGATGTTTTTTTTAAATCACTGTCATTGCATTTCCTGGTGAATGCCTCTAAAACATAGGTTACAGTCACTTTTTTGTACCCAGTGTACCACATCCTCCACTGTAACAATAAGTCAATCAACTGTCTAACTCTACAATGTTTGTTTGTGTGTCCTCCTAATTTACGTTATTTGTTATCCACAGGCTATCTCTGCAACTCATTAACAGAGCCCAGAGGCAGAGTTGGCATGTCAGTCTATAAGCCTGATGACAGGGTATCACGACCTGCCGTTCAGGAAGCCGTTGAAGCCTTTCTGTCCAGATCTCAGGCTGACCTCGACCAAGCTTTACCTCTCCATGTGGAAGAGTCCTTAACTTATCTACAGGATCATCTCCTAGATGTCTGTCAGTGTTAAATAAAAGAGTCTGTGTTTCACGTTTCATATTGGTGCTTATTTTGTAGGTAAACTAATAAACTATATATATATATATATATATATATATATATATATATATATATATATATATATATATATATATGTAAGGTTAAAATATCAATACTACAGTCTACATATCAGGAGAGCAAATCAATGTGCTTTCAGATGTGTGGCTACATGTTGGTGACCTTTATTTTTATTTTATTTTTTTGTATAAAAATGTGGCCCTCTTTGTTTGGCCTAATTAAGTCAAACTAATTGAAGAACTCACTTTTCTCAATAAATTATATTGCCTTTTTCTATGAAAAGTTTTGTCATTGTGTGTAATTTACTTCCACACAGATGCAAGCATTACATCATTATGCCGATAGAGTACACAATACGTGATAATCATTGTGCTTGATTGAGCATGATTTCTAGATAAGCCACAGTAAAGTGAATAATGGCATTTTGTCGCTCCATCTCAAGGTCCATCATTCCTCACTTGATATTTATTGTGGTTCAACAGCTGGTTGGACCTTCCACACGCTGACCAATAAGATCAGGCGCCGTTATCGGCACAGGAAAAAAAAAAAATCCTTACAGTCGCCATGATACAGCAGCGGAAACGGGTGAGAAGTAGCTAGAAAACAAAAGAGAACACGCAGTCGTCCTCGCGATTTGGTATGCTCTTGCAGGTAAAAATTGAATCCTTTCTGTTTTAACTCACCCATTTTCACCCAATTGACCAAAATCTTATGCGGAATGTTAGAAGTGCTGCCGTAATTTTCCGAAATAACACTTATTTAATAGGAAGTGGTCAGCTTCACATAATTAGGATGTTAGCTTTTAGCCAATAAGCTAACACAAGCTAAGCTAAATAGCTCAAAATTGCTTTCAAGTCCAGCTTTGTCGCTTTGTGTGCATTGGGTTCCTCTCTGTTTATCTCCGTGATAGTGCTTCTTGCTAGTGGAAGCTAGCTAATGACAGCTAACTAATGCGTTGTTGCGTGGCCTAGTGTTTATGCGCAACTCAGTGCTTTGGTATTATATAAAGCGAGACTGCATGGTATCTTTTAATATTATTTAGTGTATTATCCATTTACCCACTTGAAAAGGGCGTTAGCGTCGGCTAACTGGTAAATTTTGTTTGTCTGTTTTCCGTCGTGCTAGTTAGCAAGCGAGCTAGTTTGTTAACTAGCGTCTGTTATGTGTAGTTCGATAGCTGCCTAATTAGGTTAAGCTAGACTAATCAGTTAGCGTCACTGAGAGGAAAAATGTGCTAACCTAATTTTTACAAATGTGGTTTAATTATTGCACAAATTAAAGCTTCACACTGTTAAGAGCCTAGTTTTTCAAGTTGGCGTGGAAAATATGGCTCTACAGTTGTAATTATTTTACGCTGTTAAATTATGTAACTCAAGCGAAATCACGGTCTTTATAGGGAGCTGTTGACATTTTAACAGCTCCATATGAAGGAAACTCATTGCTTTATAATCAGTAAACGGAAACTTATGACTTTAATCACATCTTGGTGGTCGCTACAGTCACCTGGGCTAACCTGATGAGCGAGACACATCACTTCAAACTTACTTTGGATTATTTCAGGCTACATTTATGAGCTTGAACTTCATTTTTAGTATACTTTTAGTTGTTGGTGAATTAAAATATAAATTATTTCTCTAGTGTTATAGGAATGCCCAAGGAAAAATATGACCCGCCGGATCCCAGGCGGATGTACACAATTATGTCCAGTGAGGAGGCAGCAAATGGGAAGAAGTCATACTGGGCTGAGCTGGAAATCAGTGGTGAGTATCTTCTGCTTGTGTAGATAAATCATTTGGGGGTTTTTAAATTTATTTTCCTCTCACATATTTTTTTCCATTGCTTTGCACAGCTGCACACAAGTAATTACTAAATCCTCACTATCAAAGAGAAATATTGCAAACATGTTTGTTTGTTTTTTTTTGTTTTTCCACTGTGAAATCAGCTCACCTGTTTTGACTTATTCATATCAATGGGGGACAGTTTTCTTTCACATTTATCTTTGTGAAAATGGCGTTGGATTCTTGGACTTATTGTCCTGTTTGGCCTTTTCCCCATTTTCGCCACAGGCAGAGTAAGGAGTCTCAGCACAGCCCTGTGGTCTCTGACCCACCTCACTGCCCTGCACCTCAGTGACAACTCACTGTCACGCATCCCGCCAGACATTGCCAAACTACACAACCTGGTGTACCTGGATCTCTCATCCAATAAGATCAGGAGCCTGCCGGCAGAGCTCGGCAACATGGTGTCTCTCAGGTAAGTGATAAACCTGTATCCTAAATTGGGTTATAAAGGACTATTTTCTTCATACCTTACTTTAATTAAAAAAAAAAAAAAAAAAAAAAAAAAATATATATATATATATATATATATATATCTCTCTCTGCAATGACCAGCTGCTGATTTTTACCACTGTTGTCACTCTTGTCCCATCTGTGGAAATGTCTCACTTTAATTTAAAAGGCTGCATTCATAATCATTTTAACACTGTCAAGTAATGCTTGTATTTTTAAATGACGACTTTCGGAAAATGTTTTTGAAAGACAAAGAGTTTTATGTATTTATTTTTAATCTTAGAAGTTTAGTTTCTAATGATCCACTTCCCATCTGCCCTCCACAGGGAACTGCTTTTAAATAACAACCAGTTGCGGGTTCTGCCATTTGAATTGGGGAAACTCTTTCAGTTACAAACACTGGGGTTGAAAGGTGAGTGGCTCTTCAATGTTTTTGTAGCCATTCTGGACTGGAAATCCCTCGATATTATAAGGTGTATTTTTATTTCTCTAAGGATGCAGCAACAGTAGAGGGTGAATTGGCAGTGGTGGCAACTGATGTTTATGTTATCATTTTCTTCTGTTATTAAAGACAAACTTGAAATAGGGTCATACATGCTGTTGTTTTAGACAGAGTAACTGCTGTTGGCAACATTTCATTGCATGTACAGTAACCTAACAAGTGTTCCACTTGAGTAACATTATCCTGATTCCCTCGTGTGGGTGGGTGGTTAGGGGTTGTACAATTTCAGTGAAGTACATGGTTAAACACGTGTACAGTTCAGACTCAAGCGGAAGTGAACAAATGCTCATTGGTAATGACATGTACAAAATAAATGTATCCTTTTTTCTTTTTTTTCTGTCTACATTTTTTATTTATTTTTTTCCTCCTATGTTTATTTGGGGGCCCAGGAGGTCTCGGGTAGGGGAAACACTGATGATTTAGCTTTGATTTGCTTTTCCTTCAACAGGAAACCCACTTGCACAAGAAATTCTGAGCCTCTACCAGGAACCTGATGGCACGCGGAGGCTGCTGAGCTACTTGTTAGACAATCTGGCGGGGGCTATAAAGCGCAGTGAGTGTTCTCTCTCTTGCTTTTGTGAGAAGTTTCAGCATATGTTGTCATTTTTACTGAAAAGGTAAATCAGTAAGCAGGCTCAACAGATCATGTAGTGTGTGTGGTTTTGTTTTTGTTTGTTTGTTTGTTTTCTTTAAATAAATCCCTGTTTGACAATATGTTGATACCTATGCTGAACCATTTTCCATAAACTCAGTGCCAACAGAACAACCCCCACCCCGGTCGTGGATTACACTCCAGGAAACTGATCGAGCACGGCCCTCGGGTAAGAACAAAATACACACAACATGACTTTGAACAGAAGTACCTGTATGGTTTTTGTCTTGTGTGGTTGTGAGTTTCAGGATGGTATGCAATGCAGTGATCAGTTGAGCACTGTGGCTTTAAACCACAAATATTTGGTAGATCCTAAAAGAGCGGTTCAGACTGCAACTCATTTAGACAGCTCAGACCTGTTAAAGATGTACACTGCGCACAAGTGTCCTCATAGTAGTATACAGTCCAGAGAAGACTGCGTCATCAGGTTACAACATTTGGTAGTGGATTTGTAAACTATGACATCAAGTCTGGAAGCTACAGTTATGTAAAGTACAAAGTTTGCAAACCAAAGTTTGATGTAGTTTAGTATGGATCCAGCTTGCACCCACATAAACTGACTGCCATTCGCATGTATCTGATCATCAAGAAAATGCCCAGTTTGACACAAACATGCTGAATGTTTCCTATGATCTGAAAGGTGCACAAATTTATAATCTGTTTGGTGTGAAATTTAGTGTCGCCCCTCTTTCTAGAGCAGAAGCTCTGCCACTTGTGTTTAGTCTAGTGTATAAGCATTGTTTCGGTTGCTGAAGCAAAGCAAAACAAATGAGTCAAAAAGAACGGCTGATCTGATTCCTGGTTTGAAGAAGTATTGGTAGTTGATTTTGGTGCTTTCCGTAATGATGAGATTTACTCAGCATTTTTATTTTCTTTTACTGTTGCAAGCAACTGCAGATTTGTGGTTCTTTTGTTGTTGTTTTGTTTTGTTTTTAATGAATTTTTAATTGTAACTGTGTGCACAGTTAAGATGTTTTTGTTCGTTTTTCTCCTGTTTGTCTCCTCAGCATTGTTCTCTGTGATGTGCTACAATGTGCTGTGTGATAAGTATGCCACACGTCAGCTATATGGCTATTGTCCCACTTGGGCTCTAAACTGGGAGTACAGGAAAAAATCCATAATGCAGGAGATCATGGGCTGCAATGCAGACATCATCAGCTTGCAGGTGAGAGATGTCATAGTTTCTTTCACTGGCTCTTAATTGTTTCCATTTTGTTTTCTATCAAATGGATCCAAGAAATTGGTCTAAAATTTTCTCATGACCACACACAAACACAAAATTCTGTCACTCATTATTTTAACAATATCACATTTAAACTGTTATGCTAACACTCTTATTAGAGTACTATGTTCAGTTGACAGTTTTGAAAATTGTGATGTGTTCAGTCTAATGGACAGTGTCAACAAATTGCAAACTTTTCTTTTGTGGTTGAGTGCTTAGATTAGACCTTTTGTTTGCAGCTAAATATTCAGGTGCTTCTATTGGAACTAGTGATCTTTGTGTTTGTTAGAGGCCTAATTCATTATGTTTTTATCCATTTGTTTGTTATCCATTTTATTTTAATTTATTTTTTATTTTTTTTAAATGCACCACGTTAGCTCAGACGCCACCTGTTCATTATAAAGACACCACTAGATGGGTTTTTATTTGCTTTGCAATCTGTCAGCCCTTAGGACCGCCGAGGGGTAAAGACAAGCACATATACTGAGTGAAGCAAAACTAGTTTTGCACTGTTTTGTTATGGATGTAGCAGCTATTCTTGGGAGGGGTCATGTCGGCTAAAAGGCAAAACTATACAAGCTGGAGAGACTTGTATTGGTTTCTGCGAATCTCTTCCAAGCCTGGCCCATTTAATTTAGTGCATGATCATCCATACTGAATTGACTACCAGTTCTAATAATCAGAGATTTGTGATGTTTTCAGATGATACTTATTCAATGGACATGTAGGTTAAATTATTGTCTTACTTTCCTTGAACCTGAATCTTCTGGTATCACTTTCAGTTTTATTATTAATGTTGTAATTTAGTTTTTACATTTGTAAAAATGTGTAAGCTCAAAACCAGATTTTAAAACAGAAAAGACTTTAATATGTAAACTCTAGTCTGCGTCAAATTAAAATGTTATACTTTTTTTGTGAGAAGAAGAAGAAAGAAACCCCCCAAAAAAACCCCGATAAAACATACAAACTGAGTTTTGGAAATTTTAGATATAAAAGAATAAAAAGGTGGGAATAGTATTGCATTTCAAATGTGTACATACCCCAAGAAGTGTTAATTGGGAGCTCTTTAAATTATGTCTTGCACAAAGATGTTTCTCCTATTCATCAGTGTCATCCCCAAAGATCACCATTAGTTATTATATTATGCAGATTTTCATGGCTATTTTATCACACGCTGTCTCTTACCCATCCTGTTAATAGATGGCTAATGTAGCCAGATGGCCTTATATTTAGAGGGGGTTAACTGATGTACTTCCATGAATAACAGCCTTTCCTGTTCACCCTGGAACTTGTTTTTTGCTGTTAATTGCAGGAAGTTGAGACAGAGCAGTACTACAATTTCTTCTTGCCAGAGCTGAAGGAGCAAGGATATGACGGGTTCTTCAGTCCAAAGTCACGAGCCAGAACTATGTCTGAGTCGGATCGAAAGCACGTGGATGGATGTGCAATTTTTTACAGGACAGAAAAGTATGTGTCTATAGTTTTTGTCCTGTGGCAACTATTTCTTGGTTTAAGAATAGCTCGCAGTGATTTGAGTTCCTGTGGTGAATTAGATTGAAACTGCTTCACTATATTCACTAATACTTGTTAGCCAGTGCTTAGCTTAGTGATAAAACAATCTCAATTAAACCTGACGTCACCTACTGCTGTTGTCTGAGTGACCGATGTTCCTTTTGGGTTGTCTCTAGTGTCCACAAAGTGGATGCAGTAGTTCTCAGAAAGAAATGAAATATCATGTTGTAAACCTTTCACTCAAAATCCAGTCTATTACACTGGGACACTGTAACCTATGCTTAAGTATTGCTATGCATATCTTATCAGTTTAACTTCACTTCAAAGGAGAAAGTCTATTAAGTTTTTATTGTAGTCTCCAGACAGTGATGCCATCAGCCGTATAATGCAATTACCAAAAAGGCTAATCTAGCTTTAGCTTAACTTAAAGTTTAACTGTTGTTTTCAACTTGAAGTGAAACTATTCTTTTGGTATGTGTAGTTTTGTTTCACTCTTTAGTGGTTAATGTAGTTTGTCTTTAGTAATGCTTGCGTTAAAGCTAAAAGGTTTATTCATATAGCACCTAATAGTAGTAATGTTTTTATCACTGTCAAAAAGTTCCATCATAAAGACAATATGTGCAACAAACGGTTAAACTGAAACGATAAACCTTTTAACATTTTGTTAAAACTGTTCTAGAGACAAGAAAAGCTTTACATGTAGCTTTTATTAGCATTCAAATAGTTGTTGCTCACCTCCAGTTGTCTCTTTTAGAGAAGTTGTGATTTACCAGAGAATGCACACAGTCAGTGAAGTTTAAAAGAATAAATAATTATATAATACACACCATTCATGTATAATTTTAACCCCAACCTCTCAGGTTTGAGGTCCTGTTTGAGGTCAAACACACAAACCCACACATGTGCAATAAGACTGCTATATGTGCAATTCTTGTGCAATTCTTCTACTCACGAAGTTGTATTTTTGTATTTTCCTACTCAGTTGTATATAGTATTTCTATTTTATTCTATTGTATATATTATTCTATTTTATTCTATTGTATATAGTATTATATTTTATTCTATTGTATTTTATTTTATTGCATTCCAGTGTTTTCTAATTTCTGCTACATAACTTTGCACTTTTGCTGTAACAAAACAAATTTCCCACCTGTGGGACTAATAAAGGTCATCTTATCTTATCTGAACTCCTTTAGTAAGGTGATCAAAAGCTTCTGATAGCAGGACCATGAAATTGGGAAACCTTACCTAATTGATATTTGGCTGCTCTCACATCCAGATCATCATCTTGGTTCTTCTAACCACTTGCACTCTTGTGCTTTCACAATGACCTAAATTTTTGTGTGAATCCTCATAGTTATGAAACGTGGGTTCCCAAACAAGGCTGAGCGCTTTTCAGTTAGTTCCCAAGTCTAAAGCCATCCAGTTTTGTGTAGAGTCAGAGGAAAAGTATTCTTATTTCTTTGTAGCATTCAGACCGATACAATATTTATGGATTTTGTTTTTAATTTTATTTTAGTTTGATTGCAAACAATATGTTGGTGGGTAGGCTCTATTCAGCTGTGCATTTTGAACTGGACCCCCCAAGGCAAGACTGCCAGTATCGCACAAAATATGGTCCACAATAGCAAAGTCATAACCCTGAATGTGAGAAATGCCAAATATGTCAGGTTTTGATTTCTATGGACCTCTTAATACTTTGTATTTCCAACTTATTATGACTTTTCTATTTATTATTTCTGCTCATCTCTGCTTAGAAAGTGCTTTAAGTAGTTCTTTTTCCCCGTTTGCCTTTAGGTTCAGTGCAGTGCAGAAGCACACAGTGGAGTTTAACCAGCTGGCCATGGCTAACTCCGAGGGCTCAGAGGCTATGCTGAACAGGGTGATGACAAAGGATAACATTGGGGTAGCTGTACTGCTTGAGGTCCGCAAAGAGATGATGGAGCTCTCCTGTGAGTAGACAGTTAAGATCAGCCCTTTGTACTACAAATTCATCTTCTCGCTGAATTTTATTCGAGAGGTATTGCAGAGGATTTTGGTGATGATTATGCCAAGGGCAATGTGTTCAGTTTGTCCTAATGCTCTTAGTACCCCTTTGCCCTGTTAAACATGCCTGTTAATAAATGCCCCACCCCACCCTTCTTTCTCTGCCACTCATTTCAGCTGGTAAGTCTCTCCATGGCATGGAAAAGCAGCTGCTCCTTGTAGCCAATGCTCACATGCACTGGGACCCAGAGTATTCTGATGTCAAGCTGGTCCAGACCATGATGTTCCTGTCAGAGGTGAAAAGCATAGTGGATAAGGCCACACGCAGCCTCAAGTTGTCCTCTGTTTCTGGCGAGACTAATGCCATTCCACTGGTGCTGTGCGCTGACCTCAACTCCTTGCCTGACTCGGGTAAGTAGGCTGTACTCGACCTGCTCTTAAGAAAATGTTTTACTTCGAGTGCACCGATTGTTCATAAAATACAATTTAAAAATTTTTTTTTAAATAAATTTGAAAAAAGTGTTTGAGGTGCCTCCAGTGAAGTGCTGAGTTTATGTTAACAGCTGATTAATGTTGTTGCTGCCGAACATATCTCAGTGAAGCGAGTAAAGGATGGTTAAATCTGGCATGTTTTAAAGATGCTGACAACCTTGTTTTGCCTAATTTTCTCTTGCCTTGCAATTGAGAATGGGTTTGATTATAATTGGATAAATAGATGAAAATAATTGTTTGGCATTCATAAAAACATAAATTACATCAGTATTTGCCTTTTTGTGGTGGTGAACAGAATTGTTAGCCTGCTCACTGCATACAGTAGTGCAATATATTTTTGCTGTAAGTTTTTTACTATAGTCAAATTTGAGTTGAAATAATAATGGAGTCTCACAAATTCCTTTGCAAACGGTGTATTTTTTCTTAACTAATAAAAAATGGTCCATGTTCCACCTGTTTTATTTTTAACAATATTTTAGTGGGATAAGTTGTTGTCGTTGACGTCATCATCATCTGTTTTTTTTGTTTTTAAATGCTGATGGTTCAGTTCTTCTCTGTTCAGGCGTAGTGGAGTACCTGAGTACTGGTGGAGTGGACTGCACACACAAGGACTTCAAGGAGCTCCGTTACAGCGACTGTCTGACCAAATTCAATTGCAATGGCAAGAACAGCACGTCTAATGGCAGGATCACCCATGGCTTCAAGTTAAAGACCGCCTATGAGAACGGCCTGATGCCTTATACCAACTACACCTTCGATTTTAAGGTAATTACACATATGTGGTGTTTTGTTTTTTTTGTTTTTTTGTTTTATATTAAATGTATTTGTTTTTTTGTTTTGTTGTTTGTTTGTTTTTTTAAACGATATTGAGGACCAGTCTGTTCTTACACAAAACTATGCAAAAGTCACTTCTCTATTTCTCTTCTCAGGGTGTCATCGACTATATTTTCTACTCGAAGCCTCACCTGAACGTGCTGGGTATCTTGGGCCCTTTGGACCACCACTGGCTTGTAGAGAACAATGTCAGCGGTTGCCCACATCCACACATCCCCTCTGACCACTTCTCCCTCTTTGCTCAGCTGGAGTTGCTCCTGCCCAACCTGCCCCCCCAGGTGAATGGGCTCCATCTGCCGACACGCAGGTAGTGAGACCCTGCCTAACCACCAGGGGGAGCCTCTCCCTCTCAACCCTCCTCCTTCCTCCCACTACCAGCTCTTCCCTCCACCAAACTGAAGGAGGAAGACATAAAAACACAACCTGTAAAATATTCATACAGTGAGGTCTGGCTGACAGGGATTTCGTATAATGTTATAGATATTCTATATTTTTCTTTTTTTTTTGTTTGTTTTGTTTTTAACTGCTCAATTCAGTCCTGTTTGTGTACCATATTTTGTTTTTGGACTCCCCTTTGTTCTCAAGATCCACCAACCCTACACACTTTGCTTCTGTCTTTTAAAATGAGAAGGGATGGTAGCTCATTCATATTTGTCACTTAGGGCACTGTTTGGTTTAAGAGTGAGGGGGGGATACTTTTTTTTATTTTGGCTGAAGGAAATGACTTTCCACTGAAGAGCTCCATGGCTGATGGTCTGCATGTCTGTCTGTCCTGTATAAACCTGAAACCAGCAAAGACAGCAGACTTGTCAGTCTCAATACTCCATCCTTTGCTTGTGCTAGTTATCCCCTACAGTTTGGGCAGCCAGCTTACATGATTGGTTTTCTAGGATACACACATTTGTTGAGGCAGATGTGTTGGGATTAGAGCAGCTTTTTGCTGGTAGTTTAAGTATCCCAGGAGGCGGATGTAGCGCAGCTCGTATGAGGTGAGATTTCCTGCTGTCATACTGTGGTGCTGAGGCCTTTTGTGTAGTCATGGCCTCCCGTGGTGCTACAAGATAGTCTACACCTCTGACCCTGGACCTGGTACTGCTACCAAAATCCACAGATGCCTAGAAAACAAGAATCCCGAGCTTAGATTTGATGTTTCACACAGATGGTGTGTAGTGCTGAAAAGCCACGATGTGAAAATTTGATAGATGCTACCATCCTGTTTGCTGACAATTTCACCCCAGCCTGTATAGCTGTTAGGTTAGTCTTGTGCTTAGGAGCTCATGTGGCCCATGCGTCACCTTTTTTGTTTTTGTTTTGTTTTTTTTGACCAAGCGGTGAGGGGATTTAGGCTGATGGGCAAAGCGATTGGGGAGTGGGGGGGCTATTACCAGTATTTGTCTTGATTGCTTTTAGGGCAGGGACAGCGAGTAATGGCCGATACACAGGAATAAAACCAGCATTCCTCTCACTGTCAGGAGTTGCCATCCAGCTCCCCACACACACACACACACACACACACACACACACACACACACACACACCACATGTAATTTGCAGGCAGATCTGTAGCACTGAGGCCAGTAGTGACTTTCCCCAGCCATAAATTCCATACACAAAGCCGTGGGTTTTTTTTCACAAGTGTTTGTACAGAATAGAAATCTAGACTCAGTCTTTACATGATTGTATATGAACCACAAAAGACCTGTTTTCTGGCGTTTTTTGTACGAAGAGTAAATTATGATCAGTAAATTATGATCAGAAAAAAAAGATTGTATTGTAAACTAAGGCTAAATTTTTATCCAGTTAATGTTGAGATGAATTGATATTACCAGCTTGTACAAAAGACGTAAGAAGAGATTGTTCAAGGCGTTCGCTGTCACAACTTTGCACTTCCTTGAGATTAACTGTAATTAATGCATCAGTATATTTTTCCCCTTTCTCGCTGCAGTTTTTTTTAATGATTTGCTGGCATTTGCTGATATGTAAATAGACACTGAGTAAACTGTTGCTTCTTGCCCATTAACAAAGCCATTGATCCACACCGCTGCCATCACTTCTGACAAAAGGACGCGCAAGTATGAGTTACATCTGTTCATTTCTATAACTTGCTCAATAGTGATGTAACTGGCAAAACCTATATAAACCCCACATATATGTACATTGTGCCTCACTGTAGCAGTTGACGTTGTCTTGCACTATTTACATGCGACGAACGCCTGAACAACCTTTTCTCCTTTTATTTTTAAATACTGTTGAGACATTTGTGAAGATTTTATGTCCTTTTTGGTTTTTGTTAATGTTTATTTTCCTTTTTTTATGAGCTGTGACAATGTTATGATGATGTGTATATCCTTGCTATTCATTAAGCTCTCTAGTAATCAGGTATGCTTTCACTACCAACCCTTTCTCCTTTTCTTAGGAACATGAGTAGGGTTTCCTGTCTTTATAAATCCACTCATGTTTTGCTCTCTTTTTACACAGCTCCATGCCCCCAGAAACGCACAGCCCCTAGCTTTCCCCTGCCCGGCCACAGATTTAAACCTCCCTAAGCCTGTCCATCAACCTAACACCTCTCACCCTAAACTGCCCATCTTGGACTTTAACCTCTCGACTATCTTACACAAGCTGCATCTTTTAATCCCCTTTGCTCAACCACTTTGTATAGTTTTCCTACCCTTGTTACTGCAGCTATAGTGCCATTTGTGGACCTGCCCCTCCCTCTATAATTTGGAAAGGGTTGAAGGTCCTCCTTTCTCTGCGATTGGATAAACAAGGGATGAGGGTCAGCAGACTTAGGATGGGCTAACCTGTTGCTTATGAATTTGATACATCTTTTTAAAAAATGAATTAAATCTGTCACAAGCAAGATGGCTACTTAAACAGTCATGCTTTTATACAGATGAGAAGCACTTAGTAGGGTCATATGCAGCTTCCCTCACTCCCTTCCCTGTTGTATTTGTAGTAAAGATCTCATTACTTTAAATGCATTGAAATTCAGGTTTTAAAGTGAGAGGGAAGCACCTAAATAAGAAGAATAAATTTGGTCCCCATCTTTTTTTCTTTTTAATTTTTTTTTTAATGCATGTTTTTTTTTTTTCTTCTTTCCTGAATGGCATTAGTATTGTAGTTGTTCAAGGGGTAGCTTTTTTTTTTTTTTTTATTTTTTTTTTTTTTGTAAAGTGTGAATAAAAGATGTATCTCATGTTTCCTTTCTAAACAGATTGAATTGTGTTTGTTGATGTGTAAATCATGAATTCTACGATGGTGTTATGTTTGCTACGTTGTTTTTACTTAAACTCAATTCTTTCCCCGTTCGGCTCATCCCATCACAAACCAAATCCTCTGTAGAAATCATGAGACGTAGTCTTTGATGGGTTGATCAGAAGTTGAATGTTCTGGATAATACCTCCCACAGTGAAGGATGGAGAGCTTACTGGTGGGGGTAAAAGGAAAAACAAATCCCTGCATCATTGGTAACAGCACGACTTTGAGTGCAGGGATATGCAGTTTTAATTTTTTCTTCTTATTATTTTACATTTCAGCTTTATTTTGGATCTTGCATGGCACTAGCAGGAGAGTGCTAGTGCTTGTAGGTTAGGGCAGCAGAGCTGTCTTCTAGTGGCTGCAGTTCAGTACAAAAAAACATTTTATTTTTTATTTTTCTTTCTGTCTTTCGATTATTTTGTGAGAGGTGTAAAATGATGTGCCGCTAGACTGGTACTGTGATGATTTGAGTACTACTAGTCAATCTCATTCTGTTCTCGTGCATCACAGTGGTTAAATCTGTCAAACTAGTTAGCTACTATTGACAAAAACGTCCTCTTCATCATTTCTCGTTAAACCACAGATGGCGTCGGACTGAATCTTGTCAAATCAAAGCTGAGTTGTGACAACCTGTAAGCCCCAGTGACTAATCACTTTTTTGGCTTTTCCTTTTTCTTCCTTACATCGTTTCATTTTTAGGTGTAAAGAGGTTTTAAGTTGTAATTTTTTTTTTTTTTCTAACCTTCTCCCCAGGCTGCGTCTCTTTGCATGGGTGCACACCAAAGCTGCTCGTAGTTCAGTTCTCCAGTCCAGTTCAGGGTTTTGTTATGGTGTTTTTTTTTTTTTAATTTTTTTTATATTAAATCCAGCTCATAGTTTTCATGAAATGTAGGGCTGTAAGGAAAACGAAGCACTTTTGTCCTTTTCCTGAACCGCATATTCACCCGTTTTCAGTTTGAGTTCTCAACCTGACGGCTCTTTTCAGATGCATCCCCTTCTTTTTTTTCTTTTTCTTTTTTTTTGGTCCTAAAAACTTGGCAATAATACCCAGAAACATTCACACATTCAGATTTTCTTTAGATGTTTACCTGGAATATGTAGCTATTTCATCTTTCAGTGTGATTGTTTAATTATTTTTAAAACTCCCATCTTTACCCTTCCAGGTTACCTGAACAGCATTTTTTTTTCTTCCTCCTATCATCCATCTTGTATATTTACTCATCTCCTTCTCCCTGCCAATTTAGTGGTAGTTGTTCAATGATCAGGATTGTCTATCTGTAGTCAGCTGAGTACATATATTGATCTGTGTCACTGTGTTTATGCACTGGACCAACTATTGTTTACCATTCATGAAATACCAGCAAAAAAAAGGAGAAAAGAAGAAGACAAAAACACTTGCACAATGTTGTAGAATGTCCATTAACCCAGATGAGAAATCAAGGCAGCTGTTTTCAAATCAACACATACTGTTTTAAAATGAAACTGAATGGTAAACAATGCTTTCCGTTGTACCCCCTTAGCCGTCCTCTCAATTCTCTTTGGTCTAGTTTTTATTATTTTTGGTTTCTTATATTATTTTTTCTTTGACTACAGGTTCTGCTCGTTTCCTTTACACCTAGCTATGTATTTTCCTACTTCTGGTTGAAAATAAATTCTGTATTATCTGTTTCAAGCCGTGTCACCTCTTATTCTTTGCAATGGATATTGGAAAATAAATTCTATATCTGTTCTCCTTGTCGTGCCTGCTTTTTTTTTTTTTTTTTTTTTTTTTTCCCCCTCCCTCCTCCCAGCCTTTCTCAGGTTTGGGTTAACACGTGCGTATTTCTGTTCCTCTTCCTCGGTTGGTGACTTCATCAGATGTTGCCAACAGGAGATCACTGGCTCAGATTATATAGTTTTCTCACGGCTCCACACAGTCGGAGTCATTCTGTGGTTTCCATCTGTACCGTTCTTGTGAATATGATCTCAGAAACGCTGAGGGTGAAGGGCACTTTGACCTCTTGTGTTGAGGCTCTATATGCTAAATATAATTCAAAGGTTTAATTTTGAAGGAAGAAAGTCAGAGATATTTTATATTATAGCTTAATGTTATAAGCAATTTGTCAGTTATGTATATAACTTGGGAGAAAATGAAGCAATTTTGTCTTCTGAAAAGTGAAAGTGCGGTCTGCCCATCCTGATGATTTTTTTTTCTTTTCTTTTTTTTTAACTTGTAAGAGACCCCCGTCATTCATTTTTCTCAAATTCCTCTAGACCACCACCTCACTGATGATGAGCTGTGCATCATCACTTTGTTGAACCAGGCTCAGGGGGGGGCTCTGAGCCTGGTTCAACAAAGTGATGATGCACAGCTCTGCTGGAGGTTTCTTCCCATTAAAAGGGAGTTTGGCAACAGTGAGTTTTTCTTTCCCACTGTTGCCAAAGTGCTTGCTCATAGGGGGTCATGTGATTGTTGGGTTTTTCCTCTGTATGTATTATTGTAGGACCTTACAATATAAAGTGCCCTGAGGCAATTGTTGTTGTGATTTGGTGCTGTATAAATTGAATTGAGCTGAACTGAATTAAATTTGCTGTCGCCTCTAAATACCTCAGCATGCAGCCGTTATTGCCTCAACCGCTGGCAATAAAAGTGAGTACACCCCTAATTGGGCACAATTTAGACATTTTCAATCAGCTGTTTTCCCTTCCTGGTGACTCGTTAGTGTTACAAGGTCTCAGATGCAAATGGGGAACAGGTATGTTGAATTTGGTCACAGGAAGTTCAACATTGCACATCATGGCAAAGAATTCTCTGAGGATCTGGAAAATAAAATGCTACTCTACATAAAGATTGCTATAAGAATATTACCAACACCCTGAAACTGAGCTGCAGCAAGGTAGGCAAGACCATACAGCAGTTTAGTAGGACAGGTTCCACTCAGGACAGGCCTCACCATGGTTGACCAACAAAGTTGAGTGCACATTCTCAGCGAATTATCCAGAGATTGTCTTTCGAAAATGGATGTATGAGTGCAGGTTGAATGCATGGGGGGTCAGCCTGTCAGTGCTCAGACAATATGCCATACACTGCATCAAATGGCTGTCATCCCAGAAAGAAGCCTATTTTAAAGATAATGCACAAGAAACCGCACAATCAGTTTGCTGAAGACAAGCAGACTAAGGACATGGATTACCTGTGGTCTGATGAGACCAAGATAAATGTATTTGATTCAGATGGTGTCAGTCGTGTGTGGCAGCAACCAGGTGACGAGTACAAAGGCAAGTGTGTCTTCCCTACAGTCAAGTATGGTGATGGGATGTCATTGTTTGGGGGCTGCATGAATGCTGCTCGCACTTGGGAGCTACAGTTAACTGAGGTAATCATGAATGCCAACATGTACTGTGACATACTCAAGCACAGCATGATCACTTCTCTTCAGAAACTGGGCCACAGGACAGTATTCCAACATGATAACAACCCCGACACGCCTCCAAAAAGACCATACAGACTTAAACCCAATTGAGCATCCTCAGATGGAAGGTGGAGGAGCGCAAGGTCTCTTACATCCACCAGCTCCATTATGTCATCATGGAGGACTGGAAGAGGATTCCAGTGGCAGCCTGTGAAGCTCTAGTGAACTCCGTGCCCAACAGAGTTAAGGCAGTGTTGGAAAATAATGGTGGCCACCAGTGTTGGTCAAGTTACTTGAAAAAAGTAATCACTAATTACTGATTACTTCCCCCAAAAAGTAATCCCGTTACTTTACTGATTACTTATTTTCAAAAGTAATTGGTTACTTAGTTACTTTTTAAAAACATGATTTACAACCTAAATAGATAATAGACAATAGATAAGAAAGCAATAGATCTTTCAGCCCAATTCTACTTTTTCTGCATAATCCACCATATAAACTTTAATCAAATGGAAAAAGTCTCTTTTTAAAATTTGTTTTATTAGTTTTAATCTTTTAACTTTATGCATCAAGCAAACATTAAATTATATGCAACATTCACTGGCTGGAAGAAATTTGTTTAACATTTAAACCTATTTTCTGCACATTCCAGCACATAAAATAAAATAAAATAGGTTTTTGTGTTTACACTCAGTCTTTCAAATAAATGCGAGTGAAACACAGCAGAAAATAAATAAAGCCAAAGACTAGTGGTCCTGTTGCTTTATTTTCACCTGTATAGCGGGAGTGGGCCAGGCGGATGTTTGCCCTGGTGCAGGAATCCGCGAATTTCTCTGTGAATTTCCCATTACATGGCACTGTACTCGGTGCTTGCTCGGAAGTTTAGGGTTTTTTTTGCTGTAAAAAGAAGTTTTCTTCCGACGCAGTGAGCAGCGGAGGCTAATGTTTTTGTCACTTTTTACAGAATCAAACTCAAAGTAAGGTCAGTACTTCCACGCTTTAAACGCTGCACGCTCATACTCTCTCCCGCACTCATTATATTATTATTATTATATTATTGTTATTCTGCACACAGCTGTTGCGTCGCACTCGCTTACGTCATTGTCATGAGACATTCTCCCAAATAAAATCACAGTTTTAGTAACGCAGTAACGCAGCGTGCTTACGGGAAAGTAACAGTAATCTAATTACCTTTTTTGCAATAATAATCCCTTACTTTACTCATTACTTGAAAAAAGTAATTGGATTACTGCCCATCTCTGGTGGCCACACAAATTATTGACACTTTGGGCACAGTTTGGACATTTTCACTTAGGAGTGTACTCACGTTTGTTGCCAGCGGTTTAGACATTAATGGCTCTATGTTAAGTTATTTTGAGGTGACAGCAAATTTACACTGTTATACAAGCTGTACACTGACTACTTTACATTGTATCAGTGTGTCATATCTTCAGTGTTGTCCCATGAAAAGATAAAATAAAATATTTACAAAAATGTGAGCGGTGTACTCACTTTTGTGAGATACTGTAAAAGAAATCTATCTTCTATCTATCTATCTTCGGTTTGTGGCTCTCTATAGATAGGCGTGGGTTTTTAAAACTGTAAAATTGAGCAGCACAGGCTTGCAACGGTGAGGTGATAATTCAACATTTTTAAACTAGATTCAGGAGCATCGTGTGGCAGTTGTTGCCGTAGCAGTAAGTGTGTCACACAGCTGGCGAAGGCTGGATTATGAGACCCAAGGGTATGCAAGTTTGCAGGTTTTTGTTCCAGCCAAGCCTTCCTCCAGCTTCATTAGAATATGTGAATATCTGCTCAAAATTAAAACCTGCGCACTCACGGCTCTCTGTGACACACTTTTTCCAGACTGTGGGCCGAGGAGGACTGTCTCGGTTGAAGCACCTGTCTCAGTAAGCGCACTCACCCCCTGAAGTGTCCTTTAGTAAGACACTAAACCGTTAACAGCGCCACGGGTGCTGTTATCTAGCTGAGACTGACCTTTGGTTTTCCTCCAGAACAGCAAATGAAACTAGAATTTCCCATTGGGGATCAATAAAGTTTAACATTAACATTTAGTACCTTAAGTAGGTTGAGGATGACAGTTTTTTGCATTAACATTCACGGGCACATGATGGAGCCAGAGGATTACCTCTGGACAAGCACAGCGCACTGATCTGATCCTGACAGCAATGTGAAGAATGAAAAACATCTCAGATGTGCCACATAAAATTTTAAACAAGGAAAATCAGATTTTTTCCTGATTATTCTGATGCTGACCAATAAATCAAACTCCACTCCAAACTGTTAGCCAGAATAGCAGTGTGTGCATTTAAAAAAGAATAATATCAGAACTCTAAACAAATGTTGTTCTTTCATAAGTTATCTTAAATAATCTTGAAAACATGTACATAATTTTTTAATTTGCAGGACTCTGTGCAAAAGTCTTGACAATTTGTTGGTCTGGGGCATTCAGGTGTGTACTAATGCTGAGATGTCATAGAGTGCAGCATCACAAGTGGTGAAAACCAAACACAGCGTATCAGCACAGATACCTCCTACCAGCTGTCAAGCACGGTGGTGAATGTGTGATGGTTTGGACTTGTTTGCAGTCACTGAGTCAACCATGAACTCCTCTGTGGACCACCGGATTCCAGAGTCAAAAGCTAAGGCCTGGCCGACACTGGATCATGCAACAGCACAATGATCCAGTGTCGGCCACCAAATTGACAGCAGAATGTATTAAAAAGAAAGTATCCAAGTGTTGCTATGCCTCGGTCAAAGACTGTTTGAAATTGTGTGTCAGGACCTGAAGACAAGCATTGCCGTAAGGAGGAAGGGGGGCCAAAGCTGTTCCGCAATAATGTGAGTGACTGAAAAAGTCATACAGAAAACAATTATTTCAAGTTATTGCAGATGGTGGTTTTACAAGCTGCAAGTACAAGTACTTAGTAGTTACATTCTATACAGTATGTTGATCACATGCTAAAAATAGTAATAGTAATTCCTTGACTGATTATTAAGTACTGCCACTTATTGTTATTCACATATAGAAAAAAGGAAAATAACTAGCAGTTTTTCCTCCGTTCGGCATCTAAATATGAATGAAGGAGTCTCTCTGTGTGTATGTGTGCACCTGCCCCTTGCTTTTTTTTTTTAAATCCCTTCATCTACTTACATTATGACTGGATTTCTGGCCATCTGAGGTCAGTGTGGAGTGTGAAGATCTTTGGCTAAAGTCTTTTCTTGTTACACTTTCACCTCCACAGAGGTCCTTCTTCTT